GCCCAAGAGGTTCGTTGCCGTCTCTCTCGTGGCTGGGTGACCAGATGGGGTATTTTGTACCGCTGGCTGTGGGACTGTAAAATGTTAAGTGCTCAAGTGGCGCACCAGCACCAAAACTTTCCTGGGTTGTCAGAGGTGTGAAATTTGGCCACTGCCTGCTGGCTTGATCGTAAGGCCAGCCAAAAAAAAGTTAGCTGAATCATTGTTTCTTGCTTGCGAGGGGAGGGGTGACATTTGTAGATTGTCTTGTCTTGTGGCGTCGGTGGCCTAGTGGTTAGGCTCTCGGACTCGCAACCGTAAGGTCGTGGGTTCGAATCCCGTCAGGGGCCCGACGTTGTGTCCTTGGGAAATGCCCTTTACACTAATTTTCCTCACTTCACCCAGGTGGAAATGGGTACCCGGCTATAGACAGCGAACGATTTTGTCAGTTTGAGAGTGTTCTCGAAGGGTCTGCTGGGGTACTAATAGTTGTAAAGCGTATAGAGCATGCTCTTGAGCATGGATATGCGCTATATAAATGCAATTATTATTATTATTATTATTACCACTGTTATAGCCAAGCATGTCTTTATCAATGCCTGCCATAAGAAAGCTTTTCCCCCCATTCATTATGAGAAATTGGACTTGGGGGTCTTGTATAAGCCTTATATAGCTAAAATCTGGTTATACCTGAGATTGTTACAGTGGAATCCACTTATAACGAGCCCTGAAATTACGAGAAGTCTGTTACAAAGACTCTATTCTAAAACCCCGTTTTTATCCCTTCTTTACCTTTGTAAATAAAATACTGCTATAGCGCAATCAGACTAACATGTGAGTCGGTTATAGCGGAATATTGCTGCTGCTGTGCACAGCGCTTAGGCTATTTATTAATGTAAAACCTCGCCAGTTGTTGGTGATCTTGCGAAACAAAGAATGGGAGAGCCCACGTGTGCCATCAATGAAGGCGGAGCAAATGAGTGGGGAGGGTGTGGTATGCACAGACAAGCAGAACTCATCGCGTGATAGGCCAGCCTAGTCTAGATTATCTAGGCCTACCCCGCCTCTCACTTCTCCGATGCAGGGATGGAGAGGTCACAACAATGTGACTGATGGATGGAGCGAAGGTGTGACGTGCGCAAGCAGACGGAACGCACCACAGGGTGTGGTGGGGTGGGGGACAACACAGCGGGCGAGTTACCCTAGAGAACTTTATTTCTGATCTTCGACGCCAAGCTGTTAACATCGCTAGCGCTAGAGAAAGAAACCCTATTCGATTTTTGATCAAATACGACCTAGAGATCATGTTCAACCAAATCATCATCTGGGGAGATTACAAAAAGAAACGAACAGACAACCAGAGTCATAGATTCGGCTTACTGCAATATTTCCCTTGAAATTATTACTGGGTCCCTTATAACGAGAATCCTGCTATAATGGATGTTTAGCACCAGTCCCCTCCCTCTCGTTATAACAGGATTCCACTGTATAAGTGGGGGTCACTGTGTGTGATTGAGATATTTTATGCCTCTGTTAACACAATTTAGAGCGTTTAGGAGATGGGCTGGAAGGTGTCAGAGGGATACAACATCCCCACAGACAGAAGTAGATCATGAGGAAAACTTCTCCCCTTGTGAAGTCAACTCACATCTTCTGCTTGCAAAGACTAAGAGTCTAAGCACTACACCACAAATGCAGGTAGAGTTGAGCCACTTAGGGTACATAATGAAGAAAAGGTCAATACAGACTCACAAACATACAAAAGATAATGTTAAAGGAAAGAGACACCTCTCTTGTCTCACATAAGAAATGACCGTTGTTTTGTGAATGTGCTTATCATTTCTACAACCAAAACTCAAGCTGTACGACTAGTCTGTCAGGATTTTGGCATGAGATCTTGTTTTGTTTTTCTCCCAGGATGCAGTTGGAAAGAACTCAAGCTCCGTGGCTCCGACTAAATCCACGTTTTTGTTCTTGGTGAACTTCCTGTCCAGCCTTGTGCCAGTGGAGCGACCAGAGTATCTCAAGGTGAGAGACCGCACCGAGTTCAAAAGTGGCCCGGACATTTTGGTGGATATTCTTCACTTGCCATATCTGATACAGACATTAACCATCGTCCTTCAAGAATTTCTCAGTTCAGATGCTCTCTCAAAAACTTTTAAAAATAAAAAAATCTCTAAGTAAGTTGTTCTTGGACTATCCTTGCCTCTTTTCTGACTATGTTTCCAGTGAGAGCAAGATGTTGTAGAGTTTATGGCGATTCAAGTGTTTCAGAAACTGGGATGGATGTTGTTTGAGTTTTTCTTACCTCATTAAAACTTTCTAGTGTTCAAGACATTTGTGAGGCAGCGTGGTGGAATCAGGCTCTCGTCAATTTTTGGGCATGTAGGGTTATTGGTATCATCTTAAAACTGTTTCACTTTTCTTTATTTGGATGAAAAAATATCAATTTATCTTGAATACAAGTCGAGATATTTGCGAAAGAAGGAGGTGGGGGTCACCTGTTTTCAGAGGTAAAATTAGTGAGAAAATGGCCGCCAAAGATTAGTTATTTCCTTAGCTTAAGAGTGCGTGGTAACTGAAAATTTACATTTTTGTGCCTTTAATCAATGATTTTCAGAAAAATACAACCAGAAATTAGTTCTTTAATGGGCATGTAAGGTGTGGAGTCAAAAAACAAAACTTTGATAAAAATTCACAAACCTGCGGAAAAATGCAAGTTTCTTCACTTTGATTATTTTGACGAGAGCCTGATTCCACTACGCTGCCTCACATTTTGGTTCTTGTCGAAGTTTGTACATTTAAGATGTCCGTTTTCCTTAAAAAGTTTTCGGTGCGTAACTCTTACTTCTTTTGTATGATCAACTGTTGACATTTAGACTTTTTTCTCGTAAAATATCAGGTGTGACTTTTTTTCTGAAATTATCAGGTGTGACTTTAATTCTTTGAGTCTCAGATGTGTACAACACTTGTTGTTCTATTAACGTGTATCTCAGGTTTCCTACCATGTTCAAAATGGAAATTATGGATTTTTCAGCCATTTTTTTCTTTCGAAATCTAAGGTGTTCAAGATCATTAAGTAAAATCTTGTTTGATCAAGATTTGTTTGTTTGCCTTGCCTGAGATATTGTGCTATGTGATCCTGGTACAGTCGGCCGCCTCTATAAGACGGCCACCTGTACAAACGGCCACTTTTCTTTTCCCCCCTTGCGTTTTTTCTATATAATTTAACTGTGTAAAACGGGCACCTGTCCAACGCAGCCGCGGCCACCATATTTTAACACACAACCCCTATCACACAAAGCAATAACACCTGTCTTAGACGACCACCTTAGTGACTCCATTACGTTTTGTCGTAAATTAAGCATTGGCCCCTGGCGTTCTGTGGGAGCCGTCATAATCTAATCACCTGTCGTTGATGTTTGGTAGTCCCTCCAACCGATCATGTTGGGTAGGCCCCTCCCACTGTTGACCAATAGGTAACAAATTTTCAGCTGCTGGTGAGGGAAGCGTGTAATCCCTCATAACCCATAGGCCCGGCCCAGAACTCATACACAAATCGTAAGTGAGATGAGTGGTCACTGTTTACCCAGTCTGTAACAAAGTAACAATGGACGTCAACATGAACTTGTGACAGAAGCGTCGCTCGTTCTCCGAGTGGTGGCGACCCATGTGTTTGTTTTACTGTAGCTCTCGGTCCTCCTTGTCTGACACATTTCGTTTTATTGTCACCCTTGCACAAAAGCAGCAACAAAACAAAAAAAGAAGAAAAAACACAACGAAAACAACAACAACAACATCAACAACAACAACAACAACAACAACAATGCGGCTACCTTCGGTTGGGACCTCAGAAAGGAATGGTTTCATTTCTTCATCTTGATCAGTCCTGCCCAAGACGGCCACCTGTCTTATACGGCCACCTGTCTTATACGGCCACTTTTCTCCTTGACAACGACTGTATATCTTGGCAAGTCCCAGATTTCCTACAGGACAGTCCTAACATCGCTACTTCATGATAGTTGAATGTTTGGAATATTTCCTCTTTGGGAAATGTGGTTGGTCAGATGGCACCAGTGGTAGGCCCAACTTGTTCACTATCCCTCTGTTGTTTTTGTCTGTCTGCAGACCTCCATTCATCCCGATTTAGTCGGGATATCCCGATTTTTTGCCCCAAATCTCAAGCATCCCGATTTTTCTGATTTCGATCGCGTGTATCCCGATTTTTTGTCCCAGTCTGCTGTTGTGCTGTTGTTATGTAGTATGTAGTATGATGTGACCGTTGTAATGTTGATGTTCTTGTATTTGCTCAAACAAAACTTTCCCTATTTCTATTCACAGGCCCATATTCTGAGACGACCGTACGTGCCACCGAAGGGCAAGGAGACATATGAAGATTACGTGATTCTGGCTAAAACAAGATTAGTGGATCTCAAAGTGAGGCGTTTACTAACTTACTTACGTCTAAAGACGTCCCCTCACGTACTCTTAGTTTCATCTTGAACAAACTGATGGTGGGTCATTGGAGGGTGCCACCTGTAGATCCTATTTCTTTTCTTTCACTCTGTTGTTGCTGTCTGTCTATCTTCCTTCGCCCCTGCACTTAATGACCATGATGGTGTCGACATGCTTCACTTAACGCTAAAACACAATGGATTCTTTGATTTTTGCCGCTGGAAGAAGCTGGTGGTCGGGCTCTTTCTTTTGTCTGTTTTGCCTCGGAAGTTATGTGTTCACAAAGTCAGTCTCTTGATTTCCTAGTGCAAGCCCTGCACATCCTAATTTCTCTCATTTATAAGTGTTAGAAGTTACACGACTTGTTTTCATTTCTTACTAAAGTCTTGTTGGTGGACGCCATTAGGTGGGTGGTTGGCGGGTGCTGTGGTGTGGTTTGTGCCTTCTGTCCCATCAGACATCTATTGTCCTTATTTTTCCTTTTTTTTTTTCGTTTGTTGCTTTCTTATAACAGCTCTAATCTTCAGCACTTGTACGACCTAATTGTTTTGCAAGTGCTGTAAAACTCTGACTACAGCTAAAGTCTAAAAGTACCACTTGTAGTTCCAACTTCTTTTCTTACCCTCTGTTGTTTCTATCTGTCTGTCTTTTTCCCTGTACCGAATGGCCAACATCGTGTCCATGTGCTTCTCTTTACTCAATTTTTCCAAGGAAAAATGATCCACAAAGAGAAAGCCACAGTTGGATATGTAAATGTACCCGGTACACATATCTAAAGGTACCCTTGAACGATGTATATGCCTAGTATACATCTGTCTATAGACCCCTGAACGATGTATATGCCTAGTATACATCTGTCTATAGACCCCTGAACGATGTATATGCCTAGTATACATCTCTCTATAGACCCTTGAGTGACATATGTACCCGGTAATCTCTCTCTCCTCTCTCTCTATACCCTTGAATGACATATGTACCTGGTAGTCTCTCTCTCTCTCTCTATATACCCTTGAATGACATATGTACCCGGTAATCTCTCTCTCTCTCTCTCTATACCCTTGAATGACGTATGTACCCGGTAATCTCTCTCTCTCTCTCTCTATACCCTTGAATGACGTATGTACCCGGTAATCTCTCTCTCTCTCTCTCTATACCCTTGAATGACGTATGTACCCGGTAATCTCTCTCTCTCTCTCTATACCCTTGAATGACGTATGTACCCGGTAATCTCTCTCTCTCTCTCTCTCTATACCCTTGAATGACGTATGTACCCGGTAATCTCTCTCTCCTCTCTCTCTATACCCTTGAGTGACATATGTACCCGGTAATCTCTCTCTCCTCTCTCTCTATACCCTTGAATGACATATGTACCCGGTAGTCTCTCTCTCCTCTCTCTCTATACCCTTGAATGACATATGTACCCGGTAATCTCTCTCTTTCTCTCTATCTATTCCCTTGAGTGACATATGTACCCGGTAATCTCTCTCTGTACCCTTGAGTGACATATGTATCTGGTATATCTCTCTCTCTCTATACCCTTGAGTGACATATGTACCCGGTAATCTCTCTCTGTACCCTTGAGTGACATATGTATCTGGTATATCTCTCTCTGTACCCTTGAGTGACATATGTATCTGGTATATCTCTCTCTCTGTACCCTTGAGTGACATATGTATCTGGTATATCTCTCTCTGTACCCTAGAGTGACATATGTATCTGGTATATATATCTCTCTCTCTGTACCCTTGAGTGACATATGTATCTGGTATATCTCTCTCTGTACCCTTGAGTGACATATGTATCTGGTCTATCTCTCTGTACCCTTGAGTGACATATGTATCTGGTCTATCTCTCTCTCTATCTTGAGTGACATATGTATCTGGTATATCTCTCTCTGTACCCTTGAGTGACATATGTATCTGGTATATCTCTCTCTCTGTGTACCCTTGAGTGACATATGTATCTGGTATATCTCTCTCTGTACCCTTGAGTGACATATGTATCTGGTATATCTCTCTGTACCCTTGAGTGACATATGTATCTGGTATATCTCTCTGTACCCTTGAGTGACATATGTATCTGGTATATCTCTCTCTCTGTACCCTTGAGTGACATATGTATCTGGTATATCTCTCTCTCTCTCTCTGTACCCTTGAGTGACATATGTATCTGGTATATCTCTCTGTACCCTTGAGTGACATATGTATCTGGTCTATCTCTCTCTGTACCCTTGAGTGACATATGTATCTGGTATATCTCTCTCTCTGTACCCTTGAGTGACATATGTATCTGGTCTATCTCTCTAGGTACCCTTAAATGACGTATGGGGAGGAATATACGACAATCCTTCTAGCTCTTCAGTGTCGACAGTGACAGCAGCAAAGGTATGCCATATCTGTGTAGTTGCTTTGTAACTGTAGAAGTTTTATTCCCCAACAGACTACTCTCTTCCTAGAGAGAGAGAGAGAGAGAGAGAGAGAGAGAGAGAGAGAGAGAGAGAGAGAGAGAGAGAGAGAGAGAGAGAGAGAGAGAGAGAGAGAGAGAGAGAGAGAGGGAGAGAGGGAGAGAGGGAGAGGGAGACCATTTGAAATTGTGTTGATGAGGGTGTAAAACATTTATACAGGTCACACTTTGTAGTCATTGTGATCATGTACAGGTCACCCTTTGTAGTCATTGTGATCATGTACAGGTCACCCTTTGTAGTCATTGTGATCATGTACAGGTCACACTTTGTAGTCATTGTGATCATGTACAGGTCACCCTTTGTAGTCATTGTCATCATGTACAGGTCACACTTTGTAGTCATTGTCATCATGTACAGGTCACCCTTTGTAGTCATTGTGATCATGTACAGGTCACCCTTTGTAGTCATTGTGATCATGTACAGGTCACACTTTGTAGTCATTGTGATCATGTACAGGTCACACTTTGTAGTCATTGTGATCATGTACACGTCACCCTTTGTAGTCATTGTGATCATATACAGGTCACACTTTGTAGTCATTGTGATCATGTACAGGTCACACTTTGTAGTCATTGTGATCATGTACAGGTCACACTTTGTAGTCATTGTGATCATGTACAGGTGTACTACTGTGTACAGTTTTTACAATCATGCACAGGTCACACTTGTTACAGTCTTTACAATCATGCACAGGTCACACTTGTTACAGTCTTTACAATCTTGCACTGGTCACCCTTGTTACAGTCTTTACAATCATGCACAGGTCACACTTGTTACAGTCTTTACAATCATGCACAGGTCACACCTGTTACAGTCTTTACAATCATGCACAGATGTGCTGTGTGTGCTGTCACTAGGACCACAACAGGGAGTTCTTTCAATTGGTCGCTTTTAAGGAGAAGCAGGCTAACCCAGATGTCGGGGGTTTCCAGAAATCTTGACCTACACCAAAAGTGGGCATTGCCCTACCTATAGGAAAAGTTTAGTTTCATTGGTGTGTATATTTGTTGGGTTATGGAGAAAACTCTCCTTGTCTTTTAAAGAAACTGAACAAGGGTCCAAACGCTTAACTTTCGATTTTCTCAAAATGGCATTTTTGGGATAGCCCTGTTGTGCTTAAAAGCGACGAATTGAACCTGCCATAATAGACACGACTTGTCCAAGACAGAAATCTGTCATACCGTCATAACGGAATCCCCCCCCCCCCCTTGATTAATTCCTCTATAATACATTCCCCCCCCCCCCCTTGGTTAATTCCTCTACAATACATCTGTCTAAGATGGAAAACTTCACAACCTGGAAACGGACAGAGAAATTCCTTCCTTTCGGAGAGTTTAGACCTGTCAAAGACGCAAAATGCTTTGCCCGCTCGACCCTTAATTGAAACAAAACTCCCAAGTTTGGTTCCTCGGGCTCTAACCTTTATGCCACGCCATCGGTTTAGGAAGGGGAAGTGGTGCGGCTTGGGGGTAGGCTTGGGGGTAGCTGCTCCCCCACTCATGTGAGCCCTGGACGCGGCTGATGTTCCCGCTGGTGTGAGTGTGATCTCTCAACGCTGGTGTGAATGTGATCTCTCAACGCTGGTGTGAGTGTGATCTCTCAACGCTGGTGTGAGTGTGATCTCTCAACGCTGGTGTGAGTGTGATCTCTCAACGCTGGTGTGAGTGTGATCTCTCAACGCTGGTGTGAGTGTGATCTCTCAACGCTGGTGTGAGTGTGATCTCTCAACGCTGGTGTGAGTGTGATCTCTCAACGCTGGTGTGAGTGTGATCTCTCAACGCTGGTGTGAGTGTGATCTCTCAACGCTGGTGTGAGTGTGATCTCTCAACGCTGGTGTGAGTGTGATCTCTCAACGCTGGTGTGAGTGTGATCTCTCAACGCTGGTGTGAGTGTGATCTCTCAACGCTGGTGTGAGTGTGATCTCTCAACGCTGGTGTGAGTGTGATCTCTCAACGCTGGTGTGAGTGTGATCTCTCAACGCTGGTGTGAGTGTGATCTCTCAACGCTGGTGTGAGTGTGATCTCTCAACGCTGGTGTGAGTGTGATCTCTCAACGCTGCTTGTCCTTAAACACTTTGTGGTCACTTGGTGCAATAATGTGCCAGTGAAGACTATCCATTCCGGTCACCTGGCACAGTTCTGCGCCAGGCCCAAGAGGTTCGTTGCCGTCTCTCTCGTGGCTGGGTGACCAGATGGGGTATTTTGTACCGCTGGCTGTGGGACTGTAAAATGTTAAGTGCTCAAGTGGCGCACCAGCACCAAAACTTTCCTGGGTTGTCAGAGGTGTGAAATTTGGCCACTGCCTGCTGGCTTGATCGTAAGGCCAGCCAAAAAAAAGTTAGCTGAATCATTGTTTCTTGCTTGCGAGGGGAGGGGTGACATTTGTAGATTGTCTTGTCTTGTGGCGTCGGTGACCTAGTGGTTAGGCTCTCGGACTCGCAACCATAAGGTCGTGGGTTCGAATCCCGTCAGGGGCCCGACGTTGTGTCCTTGGGAAAGGCACTTTGCACAAATTTTCCTCACTTCACCCAGGTGGAAATGGGTACCCAGCTATAGACAGAGAAAGATCTTGTCAGTTTGATAGTGTTTGAGCGCGTGAAATCCGCAGCTTGCACTGTATGCTTCCGTGGAAGCTGAGAATGTTTCGGAGTGTTTTATGGTCTGCTGGGGTAATAATATAGTGTAAAGCGCATAGAGCCTGCTGTTGAGCGGGGATGTGCGCTATACAAATGCTATTTATTATTATTATTATTAGATTGTGCTAATTTCCTGGATGCGTGGGGCAAAGAGTAGAAACAAAGATGTTTAATCGTTTCTGTTTTTAATTGGTTAAACAGTGGTATTAATGAGATGCAAGCACTGGTGGCAATAGATTGGTAAGACCTAAGGCATGCTGTTCATGTTATCAGAGTGGGGAGGATAGCACTTCATTTATTTGAAGTTTTGATCAGTGTTTGTGGACCGGACAATCGAGCGTTGAAACTTTGACCATGTATGGTAGGGCAAGCCCTCTGGAACCTTCTCCCCCTCAACTCCCTCTGGCTCCCTTGAGATTCTCTCTTGGACAGGTGTGACTACTTCTGGAATTTCCCTCTGTTGTTTCTCTCTATCTTGCTTTTTCCTTGCATTAAATGACATTACTAGGTGCCTCTGCAAACAAACAAATGCCAGTTATTTTGTAGATACATGTGTGGAAGAGAGGATGTGTGAAAAAGTGTGTGTGTACAGATGTTGCGTGTGTGCATGTGTGCAAGCATGCACGCGATCAGTATCTGGACAATAATGATTTATCTTGTCTTGTCTTGTCTTGTCTTGTCTTGTCTTGTCCTGTCTTGTCTTGTCTTGTCTTGTCTTGTCTTGTCTTGTCTTGTCTTGTCTTGTCTTGTCTTGTCTTGTCTTGTCTTGTCCTGTCCTGTCCTGTCCTGTCCTGTCCTGTCCTGTCCTGTCCTGTCCTGTCCTGTCCTGTCCTGTCCTGTCCTGTCCTGTCCTGTCCTGTCCTGTCCTGTCCTGTCTCGTCTCGTCTCGTCTCGTCTCGTCTTGTCTTGTCTCATCTCGTCATATCGTCTCCCGACAGGCTGACGCGGCAGAGCAGGATGTGGAGAAAGCAGTCCAGGCTTTTGCAGACAGCGGGAAGATTCCCACAGCCCTGATTGAAGCCAGGTTCGCATCCTTCCTACAGGGGATGGGGGCTTATCTG